CCTGCTCACATTCTCTCTACCAGGGCATGTCCGAAATGGGGTATAACTTTGAACATTTCAAATATAAGAGCATATACTGCCTTTTATAGTTATATAGTTACAGTTATGAGAATCAATATATTTTCCATTAATATACAAAGGATTATGTTATAGCAGTGAGCATATTAAGTTTGATCTTGATTTTAGGTACATAATCCCAGTACCAGTCAGAACATGGTAGACAACCAGTAAATTCCAAATGAATGTCATAGGACTTGAGTATCTTTATGAGGGGCTATCAGTACTTCAATTTGTTTTTCATCAACCTTCAGCAGATATACAATCGCAGGCAAGGGAATTTAATAAAACAGGGAAGAAAATCATTTTCACTCCAAAGTAATCTTTCTGTACTACCATGATCTTTATTACATTCCCTTGTTTGTATAGAAACATTGATTATGATATGAAACCACAGTGAACTTTTGACAAGGGCAAGAGGGCAACAAACTTTAAACTGAACTAATTTCACTTCTAACTTTAGAATAAACAGCAACAAAACTATTGATTTCATTCATTCTTGATGGATGTCTGAAAATCTAGGATACACAAAGTATTTTTATTTAGAACATTAGACATCAAACTTCTCTTTCAATTGGTACAGATTATATCTTACTAAAATTAAAAATTGATTTTATATTTTTATAGATTGTTATCAGTAAAATTTTAACAATGCATGTCATGTTTACCTGTTTCCACAGTTCATTCATTTTTTTACATTATATTCTATTTAAATTTTGAGCTCCTGGGTAAGGGAAATATTTTAGTGCTTAAAAATAGCATGCTTTAATTTACTGTCTATTCACCAGATAAGGTGAACTAATTGTTTTCAGACAACGCCCTAATTATACACAGTAGTGAAATTTAATGAAAAAATTGTATTGGGTTGATTAGGTGATAAAAGTATGGACAAAGGCATATTATTTTCCACAGTATTTGTAATCAATAATGGCATTCAAAATTATTTCAAAAGAAATCTTCACTTATGAGTAAATTTTGGTGTTGCCACATATAGAAAATAAATGGATTCACCATCATACATACTTTTTCATTTAATGCAATTTTAGAAGGTGAGAGGGCAGTTGTACATGCTTGTGAATCTGAACCATTTAACAAGATTGAAACAATGCTTCTTAACCCATATTTGAGAAAAAAAGGTGGCCATATCTTTGAGAAAATATCCTTTATTCTAACTGTGGGCTACACTGTTAGGATGTAGGATATAACAGTTTCAGAAAGAAGTTAGGCATCTACAGGAAGAATAACTTGGAGGAAACAGAGGGAATAATATCTGAAGTGATCAAAAGTTTAATGGTCTGAGGTAAAATAAGTTTTGCATTATTGTTTGATTCAGGAATGACAAATTGATATTAACACTGAATATTTTACTCAAAAGAATAATTAAATTAGCTACATAGATTTTTGAAAGAGCCATTTTTTGCTTTTGTTACTACTATCTTTATGAAATATATAAAAGTAGAGAAAATGCTAATAAATTCTGCTTATACATATTTAATTCAAACTAATCTAGAAATATTCATAACTATATACATTTTTAGGAATATTAACTTTTAATACTAGGAGTTCTAGTTATCTTAATCAAAACTAAATAAATGATTTGTAAAATAAATAAAACTGATGTACAGTGGCATGTATAGTTACAACAAATTGCTACTGAGTGAAAAATGGAATAATAATGATTAAATATGTCAACTAAATATTAATATTCTAAAAATTGTTTTTCAAAACTATTTAGCATTAGGAAGAAAGTAGGCTTTAGTTTAAAATTTAAATTTAAAATAAAAGGATGAAGTGCTTTAGTTTGCATAAAATTACAATTACAGTATAAGAATACTGGAGGACAATATATAGATTCCGTCTATTGTTTTTTTTTTGGAGTTAGTTGAACAAGAATCACTTTTGTAATGAGAAAAAAAAGCTAAAATATTTCTGATGTAAACCATCACTGTCTGTAACAAAAATAGGCTGAAAGTGAGAAGCTCTCAAAGTTAAGCATGAAGTACTTATAGCTGAAGTATCATGAGGGTCTTCTTGACTCCCACTGCCGAGTACTACTCCTGTCATTTCTCACTTTCTGAGCACATCAATTTTAAGTGGAATCCCCTAGCATGTCAAGGGAAGAAAAAGAGGATAAAAGTAATCAATATTGGTATGCATTACTTTTTAGACTGAAAGTTATTAAACTGTTTTTGAAGAGCTGATTTGGCACTCTATATCTAAACTTAAGCAAATTTCTATGTACACATATGCTTTGTCTGGGTATCTTTTGACATCTATAGATATATTTTTGTGGGAACTCATAAATATAAATAAGTATTTATGTGTAAAATGTTTATGTCTGAATAAATTATAATGTTAAATATTAGAAATTACTTATGAAATAGTAGAAATTATGAAAATTATTGTGAAAATATTAGAAATTAATGATGATTAAAATGGTTTCATTTAAATACAGTATAGTATATTTACTTGATGAAATGTTGAACTATGAAAATCACATTTAAGAATAACATTAAAAATAAAAATTATAAGCAAGTAAATGATGTGAGAAAATGCTTATTAATTATTTTTAATGATGCACTCCTAGATATGTGCTTTGAGTATAATCTTTAAGAGAAAATAATATATAATTTAATATAAAGATATTAGAAATATATAAACCAACTGACAGTGTGAGAGTGTGGAGTGTAAGACTGTGTTTGATTTTACTCCTTTGTTCAGTTTATTTTTAGAATGTTACAAATTTTTAGCTCTTACATGTCGATATACAATTGATAATTGTACAAATACATATGAATTGTACATATACAATTTATAAGTTTTTTATACACTATTAAAAATTGAGGCAAGAGGATTCAAACTATTTACTAAAATTTAGTGTGTATGCATGTATATGTATATAAACATATTTATAAGCTGTATTTACCTGAGCACTAACCTCCAGTTCATTAACAAAGTAAATTAATTTCAGTCATATTGCTAAAATATTTACAAGTGATCATGCAGTCATGTTTATTTCTCATTGACAGAAAGTACAAATTCTATGAACTGTAACCAGAATATGTCAAAATGTTTTTCATTTTAATTAAAGCTTTGCTATAATCTTCCTACAGAAAAACAAATTAAACACATCTACTCTATTAAGTTGTACCAAACACTTCGGAAACAATGAGTTAGACTCATGTCAGGATGGTTAGATTGAGAAAAAGAAGCTATTTATTTCCGAGACTTACAAAGAAACTTTTGTTAGGGGCATACATATTTCAATTTCTGCATGCCAACATCAACAGCTTCCCTCAGTTCCACACTTTCTAAGACACTAGATCTTTTAGTAAGTTGTTGAATAGGTTGTATATCTTGAAACTGTATATAATCTAAAAATGTATTATACACTTTTTGCATCCTTCATTATATCTTAAAATATTCACAATTTCTATGCAATTTTGACCACCTGAGCTTTAAAAATTTTTCTTGAACACAAATACTGGGATTTAAAGATTCAATAAAATGTCACAGTCAATTGTAAGGCTTAGAAACTGGGATTTATTTTTTAGGCAAAATATCTATCTGGTATTTATAATGACAAAATTTATTGTTAGTTAGCAAAAGTGAATCAGGTAAAGCAATTTGCTACTGAAGCTTTCACCAGTTCACATAAAAGGAAAAGTTTCCTTAATCCCATCAGCCTGACATAATTATTTAATAGTTGAATATCAAATCACCAATATTTTTATTCTTATATAAATGCAAACATTTATTTACAGCATAAATAAGATCACATTAAAAATTAGTCTTCAGCCTGTTTTCCAAATTTAATGATGCACTACAAAAATTAATCTACATTTCTACTGTGGAGATTATATGTTCCAAATTATAGGTGTTAGCTTTAATTAAAATAAAAGTTAAAACATGACAATTATTTTATTAGTCTAGACTTTGGAAACATTTGAAATATTAAGCTATAGACACAAGTTTTTTGAGAATTCCAAGCACCGTGCTGTGCAATATAATATACATATTGATCATGATAAAAGGTTGAGATGCACAAGATTTGAAGGTCCTAAGAACATAAAAGTATCTAGTTTGCTCAGTGACCTTTTGTGACATTGATATTTACTCTATAAATTTACTCTATTTTGTAGGTATGAAATTGATTTCTGGCTAGTTTGTTTGTACAACTTTCATAGAAGATTCCAATTTATCTACAAAGCTTTATCTTTATAATTTTTTTTTAACTATGAGACTCTGATGTTAACTTATTTGGACTTTAAAAGAAACTTGATTTCCCATGAATAGTTGTAGTTGGCAATTTGATTTAAATGGACTTGTTAACCTTGTCATATTTAAACTACCACTTGTTAATTTACTGATTTTTAAAATAATTAAATTGTATAAACTATTTATATTCCATTGTAATTTAGAGAAAAAATAATATTTTCTGCTCTTTTATCAGAAAGTCCATAAAAATATCTACATTGCATACCTTGTGGGGGCACACCATACTTTATTCAACTATTCAATTTTTGATGGATATTTATATTTATTCAAGTAAGTGAAAAAATTATAAAACCTTGAAAATATTACTTGTACAAAATAGGTAATGTGTATTTGCTGATGAACAAAAACAACAACAAATCTAATTTAGATGTTTCTCTGGCCTTGAATAGGGATTGGGCACTTTTATTAAATTCTATATCCCAAGGTCTTCAACTCACAGCATACATCTGTAGCTCACTAAGTTTTGTTCAATGTTGAGGCTGTATTTCCTGAAGGGAAGACAGAGAAGAAAAGCCTGTAGAAGAGGATTCTTTTTTCTAAAGTGTCCTCAAGTTGGGTATATGGCTGGATATCCAGGCATTAACTGTAGGTTTAGAGGGCCACAAGAATCAGGCCTTCACGAACATGTCAATAAAACCAAATCACAGGAAAAAACAAACACTTACCTGGACAAGGAACATAGCTATGTGGTGGAATTCTCCACGGCCCCCTTGCTTAACAGGAACTGTCATAAAGAATTTGCTGCCATCTCTAGAAAACACTGGCTCTTCATTCTAAAATACAAAAGTGATATAACAATCTCAGAATGACATATGAAATTTGTGCTACCAACTATTGCTAATTCATGCAGAGAGTAGACTATTTGAAAAATGGCCAAATTATTCTAATAAGTGTATGATCATATTTTTAAAAGTGAACTGAATGCATTGTGTATATTTAAGTGATGGGAAGGATAGGGAAGTTTCTTAAATACTGGATGGAAATAATTTACAATTAAACTAAATATAGTTTTTAAATTGGATCAAGAAAAAACTAATCTTTCCATAAGATATGACCATTTTTAGCAATTTATATTTTAAAAATAAGGAAAAGATGAACCAGTTTATCAAAATAATTTGCTTTTAATATAGAAAATTTAATAACACAATACTTAATATAATTTTCTGAAATCTTTTACTCAGGAACTCTGCTTACTTGAAAATACATTTCTAATGATTTACAGATTAATTTATTAAAAACATAAAAATCAAAAGGCCACAGAATTGGAAGGAGTTTATTGAAAAACCCTTAATTCATATATTTCATCCTCACTTTTTACTCTTTCACAAGCACACAAACACAAATGCCCAGTTGATGGTTTTTTAAATTAAAGTCTAGTGGCATGTTAAGTCAATAAGACAATTTTTGATATTTAGATGATGGAAACTAGATATATAGATTGCTTTTTCTTGTTCCAGGGGAAACATTAGGAAAATGGATTTACCTGACAAAACATCGCATTCCTTTTTGTTGGATTAATGAGAGTGATTACACATAAGGTGTAATGAAAGGCTTTGATATGGTTTCTTCTCCAAACCTTTAAATGGGTTGCAAATCCTTATAGATGATTTGGCCCTCCACTGTCTCTGATCTCATCCTCTTCCATTCTTCTACTTCCTCATTGCTCATGTTTCTGCTTCAGGGCCTTTGCACTATTTATTCCCCTAGTCTGGTTCTTTCTCTTATCATTCACACCGCTGCTCTATTTCACTTTACCAGTGAGGTGTTTCCTGATTACCCTATATAGAGGGTGATCAAGGAAGCCAAATCATCCAACTCCGTGTGAATCTCTCATTCTCTTTCACTTACCTTTTATTTTTCATAATCCCTAATGCCATAGAATATATTATGTTTTGTGTTTGTAAATGTTTTATGCATATGAATGTATGTAAATGTGTGTGGATCGAGGGACATAGGTAGGTAGTTTCCTACAGAATATAAGCACCAAAGGCAGCATACCTCAACATAATAAAGACCATATATGAAAAACCTACAACATCTTACTAAATGGGCAAAAACTAAAAGCTTTCCCACTAAGATCAGGAATGAGAAAAGGCTGTCCACTTTCATCACTTCTATTCAATATAGTATTGGAAGTTTTAGCCAATAGAGAAGAAAGTAAAGGAAATAAAAGGCATCCAAATTGGAAAAGAGGAAGCAAAACTGTCAGTATTTGCTGATGACATAATAGTGTACATAGAAAACCCTATAGACTCCACCAAAAAAACTACTCGACCTAATAAGTGAATTTGGCAAAACAGTGGGATACAAAGTTAATATTCAGAAAACAAAGGTATTTTGGTATACAAAAATGAAATATCAGAAACCAAAACCAGAAAAAAAGTACCTAGGAATAAACTTTACCAAGAAGGTAAAAGAGACTTCCACCAAGATGGAGGCATAGGTGGAGTTGCGGTTCTTTCTCACACATCCAAGTTTAGAGACAATTAAATATTAGCAACAGAAAACCCAGCCAGAACACAGAAAATTGAACTTTTCAGAAGTCTGATAACAACAAATTCTTCAGCCTGACCAGTAAGAGGGGCAAAACCAGCAGCTGACGGAGTGGGGTAGCACAGGAAAACTCCGTCAGACAGACTCAGGCACGTGGAATCCAGGTGCAGGGTTGGACCTAGTGAGCAACCCAGCGAGCTACCTAGGGAAACAGAGAGGGAGCAGGGCTGCGGGTTGACTGTGGTCGTGCATTCATGCCCAGCTAGACAAGCGAGGGAGTGGGCGATTAGACGGGACCCAGCAGGCCCTGGTGGCCAGCTGCAGCAGAGGGCGCCACCATTTCCCTGCTCTGACCCCGCCTCCACATACAGCATCATAACCCAGCAACTCTGAGTGGCCCGGCCCTGGTGAACCACCTAAGGCTCTGCTCCTCACCCAGCGGTGAGAAACAGCAGAGGGGGTCACCATTTCCCCACTCTGACCACGCCCCCACATACAGCATCACAACCCAGCGACCTGGGAGTCCAAGGCTCTGCTCCTCACACTTAACAGCTGGAACAGACCAAAAATGGCTCAAGAAGAACTCAAAGCCCCAGAGTCTATAAATCTAAGTGATGAAGAAATAGCAAAACTCTTAGATGCACAGTTTAAAACACTGGTGATCAGGATCCTCACAGAACTGGTTGATTATAGCCACAAATTAGACAAACATATGAAGGCGAAACTAATTGAAATGAATGGAATTGCACAGGAAACCAATAGCGATGAAAAAAAAAAACTGGGACTCAAATCAATGGAGTGGACCAGAAGAAAGCAAATAATGGTCAAACAGAAAAGAGTGAAGAAGCAAGAATTCAAAATAATGAGGAGAGTCTTAGGAACCTCCAGGACATCTTTAAATGATCCAACATCCGAATTATAGGGGTACCAGAAGGAGGAAATGAACAGCCACCAGTGGAAAACTTATTTGAACAAATAATAAAGGAGAATTTCCCCAATCTGACAAAGGAAATAGACTTCCAGGAAATCCAGGAAGCTCAGAGAGTCCCAAAGAAGTTGGACCCAAGAAGGAACACACCCAGGCACATCATAATGACATTAGCCAAAATTAAAATGAAGGAGAGAATCTTAGAAGCAGCAAGAGCTAAGGGGACAGTCACCTACAAAGGAGTCCCCATCAGACTGTCAGCAGATTTCTCAAAAGAGACCTTACAGGCAAGAAGGGGCTGGAAAGAGGTATTCCAAGTCATGAAATCCAAAGACCTACAACCAAGATTGCTCTATCCAGCAAAACTTTCATTTAGAATGGAAGGACAGATAAAGTGCTCCTCAGATAAGATCAAATTCAAGGAGTTCATCATCACCAAGCCCTTATTATATGAAATGTTAAAGGAACTTATCTAATAAAAAGAAGTAAAAAAAAAACATGAACAGTGAAAGGACAACAAACTCACAGTTATTAAGAACCACACCTAAAATGAAAGCAAACTAAAAGGACAGCTAGATCAGGAGTGGAAACATAGAAATGAAGATCCTAAGGAGGGTTAGCAACAGGGGAGTGGGAGGAGGAGAAGGGGGGAGAAGTTACAGAAAATAAGTAGCATAGACAGTAGATAGAAAATAGATGGGGGGGACAAGAATAGCATGGGAAATATAGAATCTAAAGGACTTGAGACACATGGTCATAAACTAAAGGGGGGTAATGGTGGGGATGGGGGTAGGGTGGAGGGGAATGAAAGAGGGAATAGAACAACTGTAACAGCATAATCAATAAAAAAAAAAAACTATGGTGCATTTACACAATGTAGTACTATGCAGCCAAAAGAATGAAGGAGCTCCTACCCTTCACAACAGCATGGCTAGAACTTGAGAGCATTTTGCTAAGTGATACAAGCCTGGCATGAAAGACAAATACCATGTGATCTCACCTATAAATGGAAACTAGTCAACAAAATAAACAAGCAAACAAAATATAACCAGAATCACTGAAGTAAAGAAGACACTAATAGTAACCAGAGAGGAGGGAGGAGGGCAATAATGGGGAAAGAAGGGAAAGGGTCATCAAGGACATGTATAAAGGACCCATGGACAAAGTCACAGAGGAGAAAGATTGAGATGGGAAGTGGTGATGGATGGGAAGGGGGAAAGCAGTGGCGGAAAAATGGAGACACCTGTACTTGAATAACAGCAATTAACAACAAAAAGAATGTAAGCACCATGATGCAGGATCCTTGAATTCTTCATTGCTGTATCTCTAGAATCTGGGACAGTGACTATCATAAATTGTACATAATAATTATTTATTGAATGAATAAGTAAATCAGTAACTATTTTAATGATATCAAGAGGCTGGTTCTAGCTTTATTAGTAAGAACATCCATTAATAGAAATATAATAATAATATTTTACTTATCAACTTTATGAACGTTCATGAAATTATACAATGATATATGCAAATAATTTAAAACTGTGAAGTAATATACAATTTAAGGATGGGAATATTGTATTACTGGGAATATAATAAATACTGAAAAGATATGTGATTGTGAACATCACATCTTTCAACTCTGAGAGAATGAATAATTCTTATATTCCATCTCTTTTCCCACTAGGACATTTCTCTCTTTGACTTTGCACATGGTGTTTCTTCTGCTTGGAACAACTTCTTCTTCTTCTTCTCCATCCTTCTCTCTTCTTCTTCCTTCTTCTCCTTTCTTTTTTTCCTTCTCCTTCTTCTTCTAAATCTTACTCATTTTTTTTGGCTTAAATGCATGAAACAAAAAACATTTTTCAAATTTTCCTAGAGAAAGTCTCCTAGTCAAGAAATTTCAAAGATTCAAAAAAGGCCCCTATATTCATCTCTTCATGGCTTGCAGTGCATTCTATTAAATGCTTGACTTCTTTCACTAGAGAAAACAATTAAGTTTGAAATTTTGACTTTTTAGTTATATCGCCTAGGACACAGTAGGTGTACACCCATAATTGAATAGATAATTACATGTATAGAATAGACAAAAAAATTTGTTATACAAATCATTCAGTCACTTTTAGTCCAACCTATTAGTCCTTCCTTAACATTCTCCATTTGTGTTCTGCTACATAAAACAATTTTTTAGTGTTATGAATATAGTATCTGAACATTCTCCTTTTTACTTAGTTCTCCAAATCTGGTTCCTTAGAAACAGATCAGTAAAGGAACAAATAGGGACTATAATCTTAAATTCATAGTTAGATTTAAAAACCTTCAGCATGAGACAATATCTGGCTATAAATATAGCAGTCTAGACAGAACCTTTTCCTAAAATCAAATAAAAGAAAAAGGACCCATTATCACTTTTCATTCCCATGAACTTAAACAAGTCACTTTTCCTAAAATCAAATAAAAGAAAAAGGACCCATTATCACTTTTCATTCCCATGAACTTAAACAAGTCAGTGTTTATGACATACTGGGCAATGAATTGGGGATAACAAATCTTATTCCTGACCAAATTGGTAGTACACTGATTATCTTAACTTGGGCAAACATTCCCACTTCTCTCTGCTCTTCCTCCTGTCCAGAAGGTAAGTGTATGTTGATTGTAGTAAATATCTAAATTTTGTCTTAGAAATTTACTTCATCTCATAACTACCACCATTCTCATCTTTTAGATTTCTTCAAATTCTAAGTATTTCATGGCATTTTCTTAAAGCATCTGGAGAAGAAGTCAACTGTGAAACTGCCACTTGCATTTTCTTACCAAATAATTAATAGCTGGTTTCTCTGATTAAAATGTTTCTATTAAACATTAATAAGTTTGATATTTAAATTGCAGATAAATAATGCCAGAGGAACATACATTGTATGTTAGCCTATAATGAATGCTACTGGCTATAAAAATGATAGCAAAATAGGTTTAATAAGGCAGGATAATTCAGAATATATCCATATCCATATATCATATTTTTCACTGTTTTTATATTCAGTGTTTAAATTAATTTTGTATGAGCCCATTATTGGCCACAAAAATCAAGTTTTTTTTCCAATTTTATTTTGCACATGACTAAGATTAAATAATTCATATTAATACAGGATGATATATAGATAATAGATATGTATGCTTATTATTTAAATGAGCAAAAGTTTAGACTATTTACAGTCCTTCTTATACATTTTCTTTATTCAGCAAATATTTATGGAGCTTTTCTTCAACCAGACTCTATATTAAGCATTTGGTTTACAATAGAGAACAAAAATGAGTATCTTTTCTGTCTTTGTGAACTCAATAAAAACAAATCAGAAATAATTGTATAACTATTATACAAAAATTATACTTGACATTAAAATAACATATTATGGGATGTTATGTAGTGTGGCTGGAGAAGGTGACTTTTTAAGTAGGTGATTTCAGGTAAGGTTTACAATGAGCAGGCTTCATATACGAAAATAGTTGAGGGACTTCTTTTTAGAGGAAAGGGTTCATACAATAGCCTTGTGGGAATGAGAGCTAGTGTACCTAGAATGAAGAAAACATTTAAAGGATGGTATGGCACAAACTGAATATGCTTTCAATTTAATTCCTTGTAGACCCATTAAGAATGTTGGTCTTTATCTGCAGAACAAAAGAATATAAAAAATGTTTTAGTTGTGAGAGTGAAGTATGAGATTGATATGAGTAATGAGCAAATAAATATTCCAAAAAGTTCACTCCGCTAGCCTGCAGTATGAACGATTTGAAGGTTCTGTAGGGGTTGAGTGTGCACAAGTGAAGGAGGTTCTGCAGTACCCATGGTTTGATCCTGGACAGTGTTTATGAACTGCAAAATTACATGAGGAAGAGTTCAAAATAACTACTAGGTTTATCATTTTAATAGCTGGATGGATAACTCTGTCTTAAACTCCTATGATAAGAAGACATAAGACTGATTAGAAAGGAGATGTATTCGGTGTGGAACTATGGAGTGTATAATTACTTTTATAGATTAAAGAGGAGATGCCAAGCATGAATATGGATGTTTTAAGAGTCAGAAAACTGAGTTTCCTGAGGCTATACATTTGGAGGTCTTAGTATAGTTGTGGTCATTGAAACCATAGATATATATGATAAGTAGAGAAAGAATATAAAAGATGACTGCAAAGAAAAAATCAAAACCAAAATAAATCAAATACTCCTCTTTGCAAAAAGCAGTGAAGGAGTTATTAACAAAATTTGTAAAAGTATATATGAATAATTTAGTTGTATTTTCCTCTGAAATATCCAGTATGAGACCATGTTGAGGGACATTTGGTTGTTTTTCTATTGCGATCATTTGGAATCCATACTCATTGTGTCACATGGCTAGTAGCACTGGCACTGGGATCTAGGATGTACCTAACAAAGAAGTGTTCATCTGAATAATCTTTACAAAAATAATTTATTGGACAATCTAAGCAATGTTGATTGTTTCTAGTTTTAATGGATTGCAACTTTTTCTCTGTCATCTGCACAAACACTTATTTACATGAATCACCCTGAAATGGATCACTGTTATTCTGTAAATTATATTTTATAAAAAAACAAAAGCAATTTCTCATAAAGATGTCATAGAAAGGGCAAATGATAAATATTTTCATAGAGAAGATTCAGTTAAACATGCAAAGGAACAGGTATAAATGACCCATGGTCATGGACAACAGGGTGGGAATTGACTATGGGAGCAAGGGGTGGGTGGGGCAGGGGAGAGCAATGGGGGAATATTGAGACAGTTGTAATAGAACAACAATAAAAAATGGGGAAATAGGGAAAAATAAAGTAAATAGTTTCCGACCTCAAAAAAAAACCATGCAAATCCTTTCATATTACTAAAATAACTTTTGAAAGTTATCACATAACAAATAGGTGAACAGGATGGGCACCGTGGCCTAAATGTGACATAAAGAAACAACCTATACTATACCTGTTTGGAGAGCCATGTATCTGATGTCATCTCATATTTCTGAAACAAAACAATTGACTTCATGAAGCATCTAAAGGCCAAAATAAACACACATCGATTTAACAATTGTTACAGTATTATTCTCTGGCATTTTCCCCTTTCCTCAACTGGTGAAATACAACCAGAGATGTATTGCAATTGTTGATTTAAACAAAATGAATAATTGTAAAATTGGGATTAAATAATAATTTAACTATAAAGTCTTTTTTATATGTGAACTACTTCAGAATTCCTGGTAGTATACCACCAGGATAAAAGATCATTTTCCAGTTCTGTTTTCTTACCTCAAACTGTTTTCAGCCACTAGACACTATCTCTTTTCACTTCTACACGTCAAAAGGAAAAGAAAATTATTAAATCCTTCAAAAGAACTGGGCTAAGAGCTTGGAATAAAATTAAAATGTGGACATTGTTTCAACATTCGATCCACTCCAACATAGTCATTAGTATTTGAGATAACAAAATGTTAAGTTCTTTTAAAATAATCTTGAAAAGACCAAAACCAAAATATATTTCAAAAAGCAAAATTAGCCTAATTTAATTTTGAGCTAAATATGTGTAGATGAAAAACTTCAGTAACACTGTTTATATGTACTAATTTAGGAAACATTTTATAGGTTTCTGGAAAAATATTTTGCAAGTATATAAAGAAAAATTTGATTCATAAAGTTTCAATTCAAAGCATTTCTCCCTGTTCATTTTTCTTTTTGTAAAACAGACATAGAACATGTCAATTCCCACTGCTCATTATTATCACTGTTTTATTAGAATCCAAGAGATTCCAAAATTTCACATATAATTACTTGTTTTATTATTTCATTTATAATGTAAAGGAAAATATTTTAATTCCATAAAGGGATTTAAATATAATTGAATACCAATAAGGTATCAAATCAATAATATGATAGGTCTCCTATGTTTATTTTTATTGAAGCATTTTAATATATCTTTGCATTTACCTGTATAGATTTTCCTCCTATAGAAGAGTTGATATACAAGTTTTATCTAGAAAAAGTGAATTCCAATGTTTTAAATTTATTTTTACCTTATTTTGTAAGTATTTTAGTTTTTAAAATTTTGACACATATACAAAAAATAATGACAACCATAATAATCTCCCACGGACCCATCACCCAGCTTCAAAATCTATAAAAAATGCACCATTTTTTATTTCATTGAACCTCCAACACTTTGTTTATCGGTGAACTATCTAAAAGCAAGTCTCAGATATATTATTTTACCTATAAAGTTATCACCATGTATTTCTAATATGTATCTTTAAATAGCCACATTGATCACATTTAACAAGTATCTAATAATATAGCCTATTATCCATATTATGCTCAGTTTTTCTTAATCTCAAAAAATCTTTTTTGTACTTTATTTTATTTTAAAATTACAGATGACATACAATATTATATTAGTTTCAGATGTACTTCCCAGTTATTAGACAATATATAATTTACCAATTGGTCATCTTGACTAGTCTCACATCCATCTGACACCATTTATATTCCCCATGCTATATTTTACTATTCTGCAGCAACCAATTTGTACTTCTTAATTTTTTGATTTTTTTGCCCATCCTCCCAAACCCTCTCATCTGGCAACCATCAAAATGTTTCCTGTATTTATGAGTTTGTTTTTGTTCTGCTTTTCCATTTATTTTGTTTTTTTAGATCAAATTGTTGATAGATACGTATTTGTTATTATTTGATTTTACATATTTTTCTTTTTCTTCTTAAAGAAGACTCTTTAACATTTCATGTAATATTGGTTTAGTGGTGGTGAACTACTTTAGTTATTTCTTGTCTGGGAAGCTCTCTATATGTCCTTTAATTCTAAATGATATCATGCTGAGTAGAGTAACCTTGGTTGTAGGTCCTTGCTTTATATCACTTTGAATATTTCTTGCCAATCCCTCTGGCCAGAAATGATTTTTTTTGAGAAATCAGCAGACTCTCTATCTTTTTTTATAGTACATACATATCTTTTTATTTGACTTCTTTTTTAATTTATCTTTTATTGTTATACAAGTACAGTTGTCTTCATTTTTTAAAAAATCAGGTGACTTTTTTATGGGCACTTGCACTTAAACTGCTTTTCTGTTGCTGCTTTCAGGAATCTCTCTTTGTCTTTAACCTTTGGAATTTTAATTATGATGCATATCAGTGTGGCTTCTTCGGGGTCATCTTGTTTGGGACTCTCTGTGCTTCCTAGACTTGTATGACTATTTCCTTCACCAGTTTAGGGAAGTTTTCTGTTATTTTTTTCACATGTGTTTTCACTTCATTGCTTTCTCACTTCTCCTTCCAGCATTCCCATGATGCAAATGATGTCAAAGAGGATCCTAACACATGTGTTCTCATTTTAAAATTATTTTTTATTTTGCTCTTCTGATCAGGTATGTTCTGCTTCTTTATCTTCCAAATCTCAAATTTGATCCTCTGCTTCATTTATGTAATATATTCTTCATTTCAGTTAATGTGTTCTTCATTTCTAGTTCTTTTTTTAATGTTTTTTAGTTCAACTTTTCTGTTTCCTATTTTTTATTGATGTTCCCATTTTGTTTATCTGCCCTTTCCCTGAGTTCATTGTGCACCCTTATAACCACTGTTTTAAACTCTGGATCTAGTAGATTGCTTGTTTCCATTTTTCCGGAGTTTTGTGTTCTTTCATTTGAGACATGATTCTTTTTCTCCTGATTTTATTTGACTCCCTGTGTTTGTTTCTCTTTAGTGGGTGGAACTGTTACATCTCCAAGGCTTGGTACAATGGCCTTATATAATAGGCATCCTGTAGGGTCTAGTAACACAGCATCCCTGTTCAACTGAGGTGGGCCTTTCAGGTGTACCCCCCACATCCATGTGGGTGTTATACACATTTTTTTTGTAGTTGAGCTTTGATTGTTGTTAGTACATGAATGGAAGAGATTTATCCCCAACCAATCAGCTACAAAGACTGGTTGTGATCACCGTGGAAGATCAGCTGTGCTGGGGCCCACCCCACAGAAAAGGACATACTTCATTGGGGCTCTGGTGCCTGCTATGTTTGTCCCTTGAGTGTGTCCCCTATGGAGATGGTCAAATTGTACTCCAGCATGTTTTGAAACTGTCCATTTGTTGCACTGGGTTGGGGGCCTCCTGGGAGGTGCATACCACAGTCAGCTACAACCTGGGTTCTGCTTGGTGCTAGCCACCATGAGCGACAAAGTAATGTGTAGATGGCTTCTCTTTGTGCTGGTCTTGGAGTTACCCAGGAGAGGACAGCTTGTGAACCAGGGCCAGCTACCACTAGTGCTAGGCCGGGGGCCACTTAGTGAGAGGTACAGGGTGTGAAGAGGACAGATGCTGCTTATTTGAGAGGTCTTAGAAAAGCCCAAAGCATGAGACAAGATGGATCCTTTATATGGAAAAGACACTGAAAACAGCTTGGGTGGCCCTGCACATTGGGTGGAGCAGTGTCTCAGGCAATCACCAGGGTAGGGAAACCAGTGTGAGTCAGGTTGGTGGAGACTCATATATGGAACCTTCTCACTGTAAAGGGACAGCTCAGAATAGGAAAAATGGAATCTGCCAGCACTTTAGGCAGGGAGAACTCTGCCCCGACCAGTTCTCTTCCTAATACCAGACAATTCAGATCCTCCCCATATGTGTCTGGTGCCTTTTGAGCTGCTGCCCCAGTGCTGGAGCTCAGAGCAAGCGAGTCCAACTAAGTCTGTGCATGGGATCTTTAAGAGGAGTGAGTACCTTGGACTCCAGAAGCTCTCCATCTCACTCGGCCACAATCTTGGCTGGTTTTTACAGCCAGAAGTTATGAGGACTTCTCTTTCTGGCCCTGGAAACTTGGGCTGTGGATTCTGGTGTGGGACTGGGACCCTTCCCTCCTCATGAGATAACTTCACAGCTGAGATATGTGGGTGTGGGACCAGCATGTTCTATGTCCCCACTTTTTCCAACCATTCTCTCCATGTGGCATCTTCTTTATAACCTTAGTTGTAGGACTTCTGTTCATCTGGATTTCAGATGGTTTTGAATTATAGTTGTTTTGTAGTTTAGGGTTTTCGGTTTTTTGACATGGTTGTAGGAGCATGTGAATACTGCATTAACCTATGCTTGCCATCTTGACAGAAGTATTGCTATATTACATGTCAGTAGCTGTTCCTTAAAGGTTTCTTCTCACTTGATGCGAGGTTTCATTAAAAAATTCACACACAACCGGCATTATCATCCTTTTGGTCTTGACTGAAGTTCCTGCCACCCTCATGTTGGCAGCTCTGCTTCCAGCATACTTTCTATTTCCTGCCCCCCAGTCCAATTTTTAAATGGCTTGTTAATCAGCTAAATAAGAAACCCTCCAGAACACTTTAACAAATAAATGGTGAAACCCTAATCACTCTAAGCTATTGAGGTAAAAAAGGATGATTGAAACCAGTTTCTAATAAATACAAGCTAAATTTGAAGAGCACTGGTCAAATCCAAAAAGTGAATGGCTGATTCATGTACCTCATTTCCACACATGCCCTCATCATTTTAATTAGAGCAATTTCTTTCTCTTCATTTCTCTCTGTTAAGACCATTAAAATGATGTTTTAGAAGTATTGCAGTATAAATTGTATATAGTGAATGTACAGATGAAATGTATGAGATGAATTTGGACAGATTTATTTACATGCCATGAAGATTAAGACCTTTATCTTCACTCACTCCCTCAACATTCTTCCCATAGTTTCCAAAAAGGCAACCATCCTTCTGAACTCTTCTTCATAATTTTCCTGTTTTAGAAATTCATAAAATTGAAATCATGTATTATGTGCTAATTTATGTGGGACTTATCTCACACCACATGGTTTTGAGATTCATTCACGTTGTTGAGTGTGTCACTATTCTGTTTCTTCTTAGAGTGCTGAGTAGAATTCTGCTGTGTAGATATTTTGTTTATTCACTCATTTCTCTCATTTTGTTTATCCATTCCTTGTTAACAGACCATTGGATAATTTC